GAAGGAACGCTGTTCGGTGCAGTTATTATTATTATTATTATTATTATGTATTTTACTTTGCTCTGAAATAGTAATTCGCTCGTATTACGTAATTCTGAACATTGGTCAAGATTGACAAAAGAGAACATATGGGATTTAATGTTCAAAGAGTTAAACACACCACCACCATCAAAGCGCATCAAACGTAGCCCAATAAATTGAGGTGTATAATATTTTTGATTCGAAATTAAACTACATTCCATATATTCTTATATTTACAGTGCAAATAAAATTAATTAGCAAAGAAATAATAAAAATGTTGACACACAGTTTTAATGGAACATGTTGTATTCAACGGTATTCAATTCTTTTGCAAATGACATTTGGGTCTGATTCATTTTGAGCGAGACATAAAATGATCTAAGCCGAATTTTGAAATGAACGTAAAATATGTTGTTGTTTTTTTTTCCTAAATGTTTAATCACTTCCGTTTTTATCGAGTTTCGTTGCCGCTCGCCAAATGTTTTTTTTTGAATAATATAGTCCATATGGTTTTGTTTTATATAAATGATTATAATTTCAGGACTGATTTTGATGAGAATTTTTTTGGCACAAAAAACCCTTTTTAACTCCGACTATGTGTAACCGCATTTTGATCTCTCCAGTACCTTCACAATGTCCGAAAACTTATACATATGGGTGTTTCCCATATCTGTAAATAGAAAAATGGTATTTATTAATTTAAAGTAGGCAAAATTCTATGGTAGTTAATGGCATTTATACAACGAAGCGAATGATGTTAGCACTTCCCGAAGCAAAAAACTGTTTTCAAAATCTGATGATACTTACAATGGAAAAACGCTCCGTTTGTACTCCCGCACAGCCATCTCAACCAAATGGGAAATGACTTTTTTTGTGCATAACTAACCAACATATTCGGGATAGCAGTTACGTAACAAATGTTACTTATGATTTTTTTTTTATTTTATTGTATGGTATTGTGATGATTAGTTGGCTGCTATTCGAACTCGGTCCCGGATATGTCCACGTCGTTATCGTCGTCGAAGACGGCGGCATCGGCGTTGATTTGATTCCAATATCGGTTGATTGCAGCATGGTATTGGAAGTCCAAGCAATGTCCATAGTCCTGATCAATCGAAAAAATGAATCTTTTTTTGCGATCATTCAATCACATTGTGTATCAATATCCTTACCTTTCAGTAGAATGTTCTTAGCCACCAATGTCACGATGCCAAGTCACGGTGCATTCGAGGTCTAATTTCCATTTTTTGTAGTAAGGTTTTACTCTTGACATTAGCTCCTCTTCTATTCCAAATGCTCCGATCAATGTGCGTTGTAACTGTCGATCAAATAAAAAACCTCTATCGAGGTGAAGAACGAGTGACGAAACCAAAATTTGAAACACAAAATTTCTGATATCAATTTTGTGACGAAAATAGTTGGTAGATATATTTTCTATGAACTGTGAATATAAACTTAATATACATTTGTATATTTAAAACGTTGCAGAAATTCTCTCCTTTTTACTTTGAGTTCATACTGACGCAATTAAGCAACGTTCCGAATATAGCCCAAGAGCTTTCCAACCATACATCAACTGGGGCCAACGGCCTTCTAGGTCTGGATTTCGTATATTACGTGTATATATAGCGAGTTCGACTTTTCAACACACTAATGTGGTTTCGTCACTCGCGCGAACTGCCGTCCGCTGTGATCTTTGTTTTGTTTACATTTAATTTTAATAAATTGCGTCTATAATAATCCGCTACACGATCCAAGTCATTTTGAAGATTAATGCAGTCATCTGTTGAGGTGATATATTTTGAAATTTTTGTATCATCTGCAAATGAAATTATGGTAATATTGGTCACGACGAAAGGTAAATCAATTACAAACATGATGAACAAAGTAGCGCCAATGGGATATCCATGACCCGTCCCAGAAGTAACTTCGATTGCTTTGGATCTGATATCTGCAATCTTTACAATTTGTCTGCGACCAGAGCTTTCTTACTTTAGCAGCTGTTCATTCAATCCCATCAAAGACCTTGGCTATGTCTAAATAGATGGCGCCTGTTTGATGTCTTCTTCCCATGTTAATAATCGTTTTTGAAGTTAATTCTACTAAATTTGTTATCGTTGACCTGTTCTTGATGAATCCATGCTGACTTTCGTGTACTATGTTCTTCAAATATAGATTGAGATGACAAAATGCACTGTAAAGCAACACCCCGGTAATTTTGAACGTTGTTTCTATCGCCGTTCTTGTAAACTGGTCTGACAAAGGACGTTCACCATACCTGCAGTACAGTGGCAGTTTCAAGTGAGTCCTTTAATAGTGTTGATATTGGCTCCTGTAATGAAATCAAACAATGCTTGATGAATTTGTTTGGAATTTCATCAGGACCACAGACAAGATCATC